ATGGATGAATTTATTATTAGAAAAATATATTGAAGTAAGTATAGGTACAGCTACAGTGTATGAGGTGAAAATCAAATAAATTGTTACCATTATTTATTAATTTAATATACGATATTGTTGAGGTTAACTGATAGAAGAACGAATGGATGAATTTATTATTAGAAAAATATATTGAAATAAATAAAGCTATACGTGTAAGTACAGGTACAGTGTATGAGGTGAAAATCAAATAAATTATTATCATTATTTATTAATTTAATGTATAATATTTTTGAGATTAACTGATAGAGGAACGAGTGGATGAATTTGTAATAGAAAATATATTGAAATAAGTATAGGTATAAGTATAAGCATAGTGTATGCTGATCCATAACCTCACTCTTTCAATATTACATACAGAATATGATAGGGAGCACGTTCATATATTTATAGCAAAGGACATTACCAAAAAGTTAACCTTGAAGCTCTGGCTGAAGGCTACAAGAAACAGCAATAGAAATCTGCTTATAGCTCTTTTGTTTCTAGACCTTATAACCCAAAACAAAATTCATATTCAAGGGCACAATAATATGCACCTCTCCTTATTTAGAATATCTTTTATTTCACCAAATTCTATTCTCTTTGTAACAGCAGTGTTCAGGTCTATACAAAAGGAAAGGTGTAGAGTTTTTCTGTAAGTAATTACTACACATAAATTAAATTCACGTTGTTATCAGCTTGCAAGTTGGTTAAGGAATGTTTCATCGCCGATTTACAAACCATTTGCGCATTTATTTAAAGTATAACATCAAAAGGCAAAATGTGCATATTTCAAATTTGAAAGTTCGTCGAAGCTTACACCATTGGCTTATCTCGACTATTTATTCGGCGATAACGATAATATTCGCAAAATACCAATTGGCGATTGGCGAATAATACTTGAAAGATCATAAGAAAAAAAAACTGGACCTAAAGGAAGACAACACGGGAGAAACAGGATCATGCAAAGCGATGGGTGCTGAAATCAACGATAAAAAATGCCAGGAAGTGGTGAGTAGGAAAGCTACTCTCCTCGGGTTCGCAAAATTCTACCAGAAAATACGCGTCAATTACAGTAATTAGCATTTTGTGTAGCGGAAACATTTTCGTTGCGCTCAGTCTGCCTGCATCGCGCAAATTCACCGCGAAAATCGTTTAAACAGATCCATTAAATTTTTTCGGCCACGTTGCTTTCACCGTCCGACTGTAAATGAAAATTTCACCAACGCGACGAGCTTGTAAACCAACCATGCGACATTTCGAATTCTGACTTTGTAATTACACTAGCCGATAAATCGCATCGTTTCATATTTATATACGTATTGGTTCACCGACTATCAGTGTTCTTTATCTAATCGAACGTTTATATATATATAATTGGTAGATTATTAATAAGCAATATATATATTATATATCAATATATTTAATTAACCTATATATATAACATATATAATATATATATAACATATATATAGATAATAATAAGCAATATATATATGTATTGATTAACGATAGATATATTATATATCAATATATTTAATTAACCTATACATATATAAGATATATAATTAATCAATGTATATGAATACCAATGAGTTATATATATATAAATGGTAGATAATAATAGGCAATATATATATGTATTGATTAACAATAGATGTATTATATATCAATATATTTAATTAATCTATATATCTATAACATATATAATTAACCAATGTATATGAATACCAATGAATTATATATAATATATATAGATAATAATAAGCAATATATATATGTATTGATTAACTATAGATATATTATATATCAATATATTTAGTTAATCTATATATCTATAACATATATAATTAACCAATGTATATGAATTCCAATGAATTATATATATAATTGGTAGATAATAATATATATTGGTTAACAATAGATATATTATATATCAATATATTTAATTAATCTATATACGTATGTGATATATATAATTAATCAATGTATATGAATACCAATGAATTATATATATATAATTGCTGGATAATAGTAAGCAATATAAATATATATATTGATTAACGATAGATATATTATATATCAATATATTTAATTAATCTATACATATATAACATATATAATTAATCAATGTATATGAATACTAATGAATTATATATAATATATATTGATAATAATAAGCAATATATATATGTATTGATTAACAATAGATATATTGTATATCAATATATTTAATTAATCAATGTATATGAATAGCAATGAATTAATCTCCAGATATGTATTTAACGTAAATTACGTTCGTAACAACAAGGATGTTCATTTATTATCGAGAGTAGATACACCGATGCAACTTAATAATTCATTGTAATTAATGCAGTCGGAACATGCAATTTTAGGTCGATTCCGTAATTTTCGTAATATTCATGTACGTTACATATAAATACATTTTTAGCTGAAATTTTCATACTGTTCCTGTTTTCTCAGATCCTGTATAAATCTGTGCATAAAGGTTTATGCAAAAGAAAACGGTTTTTCAGGTATACCGGGACGAATATATCTTAAAGATGCAACAGTCGAGAATGGAAGCGTTCGAAAGAGTAGATTCTTTTGAAGCATCGAACGAAAGCGAAGTAGAATAGCGTAAAGCCGAGAGAACTCGAACCTCTCGATATGTACAGTCGAGGTCTAAGCTCGGGATTATCCCTTGACTACGAGTATTAAGGAACAGGATCGGAAATTTGAATCGACATCGTGAATTTGAGATTTCGAATGAACGAATTTGAAGCCAAGATGTTCTTGTATCGAGAAAGTTCAAAGATGTTCCTTCTCCAACCTTCGGTGAAAGATTTCACGTGATCTTTCGACACCAAATTACAGGAAAATCGAGAATTGTCAATTTGAAATACGAATCGATTAAAAAATACTCGATTGTTATATCGAAGCGATTACTAGTAATCGCCTTTGCCGTGGAGAAATATGATTGCCCTGAAGGTAGCTAATTTTCTTTCTCTCTCAATATTTTAGTACCTCTTTTACGTCTCTATCGATAATCTAATCGATAATGGTCTCGAATCGCAAACAATTTCAGACGAGAAGCTGAAATATCGAGCTTGTTAGTCTATCAAATTGTTTAATCGTTCTGTAAATTTGATGCGTCGCTATGAGGTAAATATAATCAAGTGTATCAAATGTGCACAAGTTAATTGCTTTGCTGCAGCTCCCATAATGTATAATATTTACTTGTATTAGTGTTTCGATCGATAACCGACGTTCAATCCAATTTTTAGTTGTTGTTACGTAATTACCATTTCAAGAGAGTAATAAAAGTAGTCTATAACGTAGTTTTACGATGCAAATCAATAATATCAGAATGTGAACGTGATATAGACTTGCGAAGATTTACATGACATACATAGTTATAACAAATTGGAAACACGATCTTAATTTGCGATTGCAATGAGTAATAAATTATAATTGTAAGCTATTATCATGGAACCATAAATTATAGGTTAAGATTGGATAAAGTATCAAAATCTATCGATTCTTATAATAAAACTCTTTATAGACACGATATATATTTCTAGAAGCACTGAATTACTATTTTTGATTCATTGGACAGGTGAAATTTGGAATGCGAGATGTAATGCGAAAGAATTAGAAGCTTCTTCTTGTTCTTATCTTTGGCTAAAGGGATTGACTTTATCGAGTTTTCCATAGTACTCGATTAAGCTTGATTTTGATTGCGTTTTCTTTTCGTGCATTCTCGTCAATATTTCTTGGTTTCCTACCGACTACTTTTTCTTATTATTATCGATTTCTTGTCGTTTCAGTATCGTTCTACCTTCGCGAATAACTTGTTTTTCGATCGAGTTCGTTCTACGTTTGAATATTCGATGATCGTTCTTGTTTATCGATCGTCTGGTAAATCTAAATTAAGCTACAATTAGATAACGTACAGTTGAGAGGACTTTGTTAACTGTACAAGTTCGGTCACGACGTGCTCACGGTTTCGACAAATAACGCAGTTCGTTGTAACCCTATCGACGCTATGGATCGTGACTGGAACTACTAACGGTTTACTCCGCTTAACGAGCGCTGAATAACATCGTGAGACGATATGTCTCCTTTTATATTACTTTATTAAAACAAATAGTTAAAATTACGCTAGACTTGGACAATTTTACGTACTGATCTGTGTACACGCTATGAGGAAATTGAGTCTAATGAGATAGCCTCTTTAGACTATGGATCTTCCAAAGAATAGAAATTAGAATGCGTTTAAAAAAGAAATTTCTGATAAATGTTGGAAATGGGCCGCACACATTAATATTGAGAAAAACGGGGATTGTATCGGCAGAGCGCCATCTAAGGAGTTTGAAAGTTGACGGCGAAAATTTAACTGTACGGTTGCAACTACCGCGACACCTATATATTTGATGGATTACGATACAAATCTGTCGTTCGTTTGCTTCGATGCGCGACAAACTTGGAAAGCAACTACATATTTGTTTCTACTTCTTACTTGAACTTCTTGATTCTATAAAAATTTTCAATATCTTTGCTACACGTCGGAGATGGAAGTTTACCCGTTTCAAAACAAACGTGTTGAAAAGTTGCACGTAATATAAAACGTGTCTAGGAAAGATAAACGCAAGTTGTTCGATCCGACGTTAACCTAAAAGCACTGTTATCGATATATGTAGGTTCTGTCGTTTCAGTCTTAAAAATTACATTCAGTCTTTCGAATTACATACCAATGAAAGCGTCGATTCAATTTTAGTGAAAACAGTGCTTCTCTTTTTATTTTCTTTTCTTTCACGTCCACATATCTACGATCTTACGTTTTTCGATATAAGAAAATTCGGGTTTCAACTAAACCCGGTGGATAGGAAATTGTTGTCGAAAAAGTTTAACAAACAGTATCATTAAATGTTAGAAAGCTATTAAAAAACAAATAAAAGCTTCAGATATAAAAAAATGTTGTAATTTGATAAGAGTCAAAATTTGTTCATTCTTTGAGAAGCTTGGTTAGCTGCGATTTTTATCACATAATATATTTTGCAAATGGATGTTGCAATCTATGGTTAAAGATAAAATTCGATTTACGCCAAGAGATTCTGAGAAATTATGTAATTTAAATTGCAGCTGGTAGATATTTGGAAAAATGAAAATCTTAGTTCTAACTTTTTAAAACTAAGCAACTGCGTATTTTGCAAACTTCTTATCCAGAACTAAATGGAGAATACAGGTATATATATTCAGGCAACTTTTAAGCAAATATCGTTGATAAAACAAGGCAAATTTCACCTCAGTTCTACGTAAATAATGCATGCTTCCTGGACAAAGTTTTCTCTGTTGAACTGAGAAAACTTTATAGATTTATATTCCCGTTACCACGACTGCAGTTTTTGAAACTTTCTCGCGCATACGCTTTGCGATTTTTTCTTTCCCTTTGCTCCTTTTAAACCGTGGAATCGAAAATGATTCGTATCGAACTACGTGAGTCTAATTTTTAAATTGATCACTCGTATATCGCACGTTTAGCGCATAATTTCTCTTACAACGACGACTAATCGATTATTAATCCCTAAGTGGGAAATACATTCGTCGTTGATTCTCCTCGTTAGACCGTGCACTTATTGCGATGTGTGCAATTGTGTGTGGTACACTTGATCAGCCGAGTAGTAGTGTCACACATATATGAGTATGAGTGTGTGTGGTAGTACGTGCGTGCGCAGCGTCTCGTAAAACAGAAGAATGCAACTGTTCCGTACGCACGGTGTTAAGGAAGATGGTGAGACAAGAAGAGGCTGAGACGTGTGCAATCTGTATCTACGAATATCTCGTAAATCTCATATTAAATAAATCTGAAACTATTTTAAAACCATTTCTACATGTAATGTGAGTGTTCCTATACATTTATTTCGGCGACTAAGACCCACAATTCTCAACAGTACTAAAATTAAATCTCGCTAGATTACAAGTGAAAGATAAAGGCTTTTAAAATCTTTTCGAAAACCGAACAACTTACAAGGCAGAACATTCATGATTCAACGATGCACGAGTTCGATTTTCGCTACTTTCTTCAACTATGGGAAAACTTTGTAATTGAAAGAACCTCCACTGTAATTCTGAATCTCAAATGTTCTCCCACAGTTCGCTTCAAATAGCGACTTTTGTGGACTTTGAGAAGTATACTGCATTGCAGGTATTGGTATCCTCCTCGCGGTTTCATTTTCAATCTTTCTTTGCGAAAACAACGAGAATTTGATCAGCGTTACTCTAACTTTATACATCCGCGTCTCTTCCTTTCGACATTTATTCCAGCTACATGGATTTTTATATAAATCACGAAAATCTTCTTACACATTTCGAAGGCATCGACGCGTAATCGATTGTAAGGACGCATCGTTTTTATCGCAAAGTATGTATTTTATAACAATGGCTTATTAGAATTTGGCGTAACGTAACTGCAAAATGTTGAACCGAAAAGGTGATTTAAATCGTTTAGCTAATTTAACAGTATCATTTCGGTACGAAATGATTTACTAACGATGAATGAAAAGTAATGTAAAATGTGAGTGTCTAAAAGTTGTTAAGAAGAATAAGCTGCGCGAGAAAGAAAGTAGATAAATGCTAAAAGTCACTTACTGAAGTATGGACGTCAATGAACATGGTTAATATCATGAGGGTCGCGGCGAAAAATTACTAGGTACTGAACTTGTGACGTAGATTAACTAACATCCATCGATCGTCATAAATGCCTTATCTTTATGTCGATCCATAAGTTGATTTTCAGACAATATATATCCATTGTAGGAGCTCATAAAACGCAATTTTCTTAATATGTGTTTCGATATATCATATTCCAACTAAGGTCCCATCCGGCTTTATACGGAAATTATGTGGGAATTGAGAACGCGCGCGTGAAACGAAGGATACGACAGACAATCGACACACTTCACACAGTTAGGAAAATCGTAGATTTCGATTGTTTACAGGTACGTAATTACTGCTTCGATATCCATCGATCTGCACTTTCTTTAAAGATCATCGACATCAAATTGAAATCGATGAGACGTAACGCCATCAGTCTGTTATATCTCTTACTACTCATATTATGGCTGCCACTATATACAGTATTTTCCAATAGTTGGATGCATGCACATAGTAAGAAAATTTTCGGTGCTCGCGATAATACAACCAAAGAAAAGAGAAATGTTAGAAATCTTAGAAATCATATTGAAAGAATTGATAAATTCGTTTATTCAGTTGGTGATAATTGTTTCCTTCGAATGAAACGTGGTTAATCTCCTTTAACTATGGTTAAGTACCTTCGTTTGCGTTTTATACCGACCGAGTTTGTTATTCGAAGTAAGGATGAAAGAATAATTGAAGTTTTTATCTGCTCTCTTTGCAATTTAAGGGTCGAGCCCGAAAGGATTATGCTCTTTGCAACATCCATGAAAAAAGTACACGGAAAACCACGCGCGCAATTAAATTTTTATAATCAGTTTTCGTCGCGACCTTTATCTTTCCATAAGACAAAAAGTAGTTGATTCGCGTCATCCAGCTAACTTCATTCCGAACACTGCGCTAGTTTTCATCCACGTCGATTTGTACGTTCGGATAATTAAACGACATGACCCGAGCGAATTAGCTGGAAATATCTCTATGCGGGATCCTAGTTTATTTGCGAGATGATAGTTAATTAGAAACTTTAGATACAACCTTGTACTTTGACTTACTTAGTTAATCGTCGTCTCGATGCAGGAAAAAGAGCGCAAAAGTGGTAAATGTTAATATAATTTTAGTATTTTTTCATAGCCTAGAAAATTTGCAACATTTACGACAATACTTTCTAACAACTTTGTGTGAAACAGCTGCAACTCGATTTTAATGTTCGCTCCTTTTCGGCGAATAATTACGATATTGCTCGAAAGTTGTCGCTCGGAAATGTGATTCGAAACACAGGTAAATCCGCTTTGCTTGCTTCGGATTAAATTCAACGAATTTAGTTTGCATTAGCTTCGAGTTAGATTGGACTCAACTTTGACCTGAATCACGATTGGATCTGGGCTCGTTTCCCGTGTCCATATCCGAAAGAATGGACATTTTCCAGAGGCGTGACGTCGTGGAAATCTGAAGCGAAAGCTAACCTTTACGGACGGGGCCTCTCGATGAGCGAGCGTCGCTGTGAACGAGAGGTATCGGCGCGCGCAGTTGAGAAAGTATACACGTTGAACGATTGCGTTATTCATTGTTGAAGCTTGTATCATTTTCTTCAATATTTAGTTCATCATCACTGTCACTATCTGAAGCACTGTTGTCGTCTTCTATCTTGTCAGGTTCAAAATAACATTCATCATCACTACTATCACTATCGAACATGTTCTTTCTGGAACTTTTAGGCAGCGTGTATAAAGTATTATAAAAAATATATAAAATATATAAAAAGCTGGCTGATTCGTCTGGTAGTGCCATTGAAAGATTGAAATTCGTTCTGAGTCGACCATCATCCTGCATCGCGAATTTACGGTAAACGGAAGATAAGATTTCTAAAGATCTGTAATTTTCTTTCACCAAAAACATAATACTGTTTAGTTCACTATACCCATGCATAAATACGCGTAAGATTATTGCTCAGAAAAATAAACATACAATAGACATTTTTATATATCTCGAAATAGAAAGAGCAAACGTGTGTTAAACAAATGTATTATAGAAATTCTTTATTCAAAAATGTTAGAAATTAGGATCTTCAATGGCTTCTATTCTATATGATAATGTATTGATGGATGAATTTATTATAGTGAATTAAACAGAAAACGATGATTATTTAACGTGAACTTAATGCAGTAGTGTGATATCACAACTCTCAATTAACGATTCTTCACTCTTGACGCACCGGCGACTAACTGAACACTGCTGCGGTGCCGGAATATACTGATGGCCGTTAGGCCTACTTACGCTTTATCGTCAACATTGTCTGTATGTCGGCGATCTTTTCGCGGTGCTATAATAGAGACGAAAGAAGCCGCTGTAAAGAGAATCGTTGTGCCAAAAACTAAACACTAGTGAAAATGTAGAATTTTCCTAGAAGTGAGACCCATTTCAACAGATAACACCCACCCGAGGGAGAAAAAGTTGCAAAACACTTGTTAACCTCTCACATTGTTGCATTACTCGTACGACCGTTTTTCATTTGAAGTCAGGTTTGTAAGACGAGGTCATTAAGTTTCTTATAGGTGCGCTAAGTGCTCTTCGACGATCGCGACACGTTGTATACACGGCCAATATAGCTCCTGGTGCACATTTGTAACATCACGCCTTGGAAATGTCATTCCCATTTTCTTCGACGTACAGATCTTCCGTCGCGTGTACGCTATCGATCGAATTTCACGCAATAAAACGCCCAAATGGCTCTCTATTCTAAAACGAGTCTAACCTACGGAAAATGAATCTTTAAAAATTTTCAAAATTCGTGCTAATTCGAAACTTCTTTCGTTCGGATAAAATTTTGGAAAAAGTTTTGTAGCGGCACATAAGTCAATGGAAGATTCGAATCGGAAGAGACTCGTATTATTGTGCCGTGGAATACCAACGTTGTTTTAGTTTGCAAGTTTCAAAGGTAAACGAACTCCGTACAAAATAATATCGTCGTTATTTGTAATCGTGAGGTAAATTGGGTGTAGAACGTGTAGAGTGCCAAAGAAATACTCGGCGGTGTTTAACAGTATGTATTTATTAACATTTCTTACTTTCGACTCTTTATGTACCACTCTCGATTTCGACTGACCTTTCTCGCTTCTCAGTCACCACTCAACTGTTTTCTTGATCCGATTCGTTTCTTTTTGTCGCCTCTCGATATCCCCACTACGCACGCGTTCGTTAGACGTCCGCGACCGTTGCCGCGTACGCCTTCTTTCAAATATTCGACGGAAGGACCGTAGAAATATCGATGGCGCATTAGGCCTGTCGGCATTTCGGTGATATACCTGTACCGACGAAACCGTTGGAAAGTTTTGTTGTCGAGTGCTGCTACAATCGTGAACCGGAGTTACATATGAACTCTAACTAACTTTTTATAATAACACCGGTCGATACAAATAGACGAACGTGCCCTCTAGTTCGTTCAGTATAGCGAATGATATACAGTCGAATAGCGAGCGTAGAGATGAACAGTAGCATCGAGCGAGCAACGATTACGACCGGCACAAACTATCTTTGTACTTCTACTTGAAGTTATTTTAATACACACCGACTATTACAATTTTATTACTGGTTTCTTTTGTAAACAAACAAACACGTGTAACAGAGCACCTCAGTTTAAATAAAACAAACACTTGCAAGAATAAATCGGGATCTTTATCAGAAACAAATCGCGCTGTCACGGTTTGAACGAGAATTGTTCACTTAAAACGTTTGCAATGAACATGGTGAAAAGTACAGAGATTTTAATCCAAGATAAATATCTATACCTTTGCTCGAGCACTGATTGCAATGTGAAATCGTGCCGCTGAATAAGTACGTGCCGTTAAAAAACTCGTTACGTAGAAAATTTATCGTATCGAATATCCCGAAACAGTTTGTTTCACATCTTTCTTCCATTTAACGGATCCAACACGTTGGATGCTACGCCAGTTTTACAAGGTTTGGCCGTGTCGCCACGATGAATTTTTTTATTATGCGGTACATATCATGTTGAAATATTACCCACAAAAGATATGTTACGGTGTATAATCATTAATGAATTTATCTCACTGAGGTCACCGGTGACCCCCAGGGCGCTGTAGTGCAATTTCGCTCGATTCAATTATTCTTTGCGATTATCAAATATCTCATATTGTTTCTTCGCGTTGCTAAATAATTGTTCTATGTTGTTGCGTCCCGGGGCCTACCACAAATCATAATCCATCCCTCGGTCATACTTTTTCGGACCCGCAACAATCCTAAAGAATCGTCACAAGATTTAGCATTTTTTACTTTACTGTCAAGGCCCTTAATTGCCATCAAACATCTTTCAAGTCGAAATGTTCCTTAGGGTTATTGCTCGTTAAGGAAAAACACGGAAAAAGCGTGTTTTTCACATGTTCGACAGCCACTGGTGGGGGATGCACATAATAGATGCATATTTCATGTATAAATAAAACTATTTTTATAAGTTTTATACTGCATTAATTCTGTCACATCATTGTAGTAACAATAATAATAATAACAAATTTATAACTATTGATATTTGTTCAAATTATGTATTTCTATTAATCTTGATGCCCCGGTCATCGGTGACCTCCACGGCGCCACGACCAAGTTGAGTGTCGGTCACCGGTGATCTCGACGGCGCCACGACCAAGTTGAGTGTCGGTC